TGCTTTTATATTCTAAACAATCCGCTGATAAGTCAAATTATTAAAAAATGTGTTCAAAACATATTATAAATATACAGGGTATCCCAAAAGTCCCGGATCGGTCGAATATTTCATAAATGCACTTTAGAAAGAAATGTTTCAGACAAAAGTTGTATGGCTTGAAGGGGACTATCAGATAGTGGCAATGATTTGACATGGGAGAGTCATTTGAAAGTCATGTGAAGATCACCGTCAATTTCTTAAATGGAACCCCTTATTTTTTATTACATATTCGTGTAGCTTATCTCGAGAGCTTTCCAAAACACTATAATTAAATATTTTTTCATTGAGTACTTTTCGAGTTATGAGGCATGAAATCATTTCTTAATTTTATATAAACCGTAAAATATCTTGTGAAATATTCATTTTTCGATTATCTTACCTTAATAATTTTATGTACAAAATAATGAGAGGAATCAATTGGTGTAAAGAAAACACATAGTTGCTTTTAAGAAAAAAATATGTAATTTGCAATTAACAATTACATATTTTTTTTTCTTATCTTGTTTTCTTATCTTTTTTATCTTGTAAATGATTTCAAGCCTCATAACTCGAAAAGTACTCAATGAAGAAATACTTTATTATAGTGTTTTGGAAAGCTCTCGAGATAAGCTACACGAATATGTAATAAAAAATAGAGGGTTTCATTTAAGAAATTGACGGTGATCTTCACGTGACTTTCAAATGACTCTCCCATGTCAAATCATTGCCACTATCTGATGGCCCCCTTCAAGCCATACAACTTTTGTCTGAAACATTTCTTTCTAAAGTGCATAGTTTATGAAATAATCGACCGGTCCGGGACTTTTGGGACACTCTGTATATCTGTCTCTGTTTATACATATATTTAATGTCTTAACAAATTTTGAATATGCAGTACATATTTTTTATTATATTTTTAGTGAAAAACAAAATTTAATACTGCTCAAAAATTATAAATATTATTTGGTTTTTTTCAGTACATTTGCAAATTTTGTACTTGAAATTTAAGAATTTTTTCCCTTCCCATAGGTAGAAAGCATTAGAAAAAATTGCATACAATAGAAAATACTTACTTTAGAAAATTGCACGAGGGAAACTTTTAAATTCTCTTTTTATTTGGAATTTTAAATAAAAATATTTTCAATCAGGTTTTTGAGGAATTTTTTTACAAAGTAGTTTGAGTAGATGTCGCTTCAACGATATTGACAATCTCTGTTTTCTGTCGACAATTTTTATATAAATTATATAAATTATTAATATTAAATTATATAAATTATTTTTATATAAATATTATTTTATAAGTATTATAAGGATCGCAAATACATGAGAAATTGAACTACACGACTCGAGTGAGATTTTTGTGGATTGAATGAACGGAAACGCGGTGTTCACACTCTTCCGCGAAATTGCTTTTGAAATGTTCCCTAGGTTACGAGCGAATTACGTTGATGAAATGTTGGTACACACTTGGTGAAGTACGTACTCCACGAGACGGCAGTTTTAAATGAACCGAGTCCGAAGACCAAGACCGGGCGACCTTTTCCACGTTCCGTTAGAGCTATAAGAAGAGGCGAATCGCTTTGTATTTTATCGAAAGTGTAAATGTCACTGTAACTTACCATCCATGCGGGACATAAAACGAAACGGCTAATATATTCTATTTATGAGGCACGGTTGTCGAAGCGTCACCTGTTTCTTTAACGTGACGTGTAAGAGGTAGCAATAATTTTTTTTTCGCAGGCACATTGTTTTATTTTTCGAACGATGAAATATACAGGATGAGGAAAAAGTATGGAAATCTCTAAATTTTTCTAAACTATGTATTTTAGAAAGCTATGTAATTTAGAAAACTATGTATTTTAGAAAGAAATGTTTCAGACAAAAGTTGTAAGGTTTCAAGTAATGCATTACGTAGCAATATCAGTATAGCCTTGAATAGCATCATCAAGGTCACATAAAAATCACTTTGAATTTTTGAAATGGAACCCCCTACTTTTTATTATATATTCTTGTAGCTTGTTTCAAGAGCTTTCCAAAACACTATAATAAAGTATTTCTTCGGTGAGTACTTTTCAAGTTATAAGGCTCGAAATAATTTCTTAATTTTACATAAACCATAAACAGTAAAATATTTTTTCTTCAAAACTATGTTTTTTCTTTACACCAATTGATTCTTCACGTTATCTTATGCATAAAAGTATGAAGGTGAGATAATAAAAAAATGAATATTTTATTAAATATTTTATGGTTTAGGAAAAATTAAGAAATGATTTCAAGCCTCATAACTCGAAAAGTACTCAATGAAGAAATACTTTATTATAGTGTTTTGGAAAGCTCTCAAGATAAGCTACACGAATATGTAATAAAAAATAAGGGGTTACAATTAAGGAATTGATGGTGATCTTCACATGACTTTCAAATGACTCTCCCATGTCAAATCATTGCCACTATCTGATGGCCCTCTTCAAGCCATACAACTTTTGTCTGAAACATTTCTTTCTAAAGTGCATAGTTTATGCACTTAGAAATATTCGACCGGTCCGAGACTTTTGGGGCATTCTGTGTACATTTTTATGTAATTTTAGTTTACACGTAATAATAATAAGAAAGGAGGTTTTATTTTTTAAAATTGCTGATAAAAATGTAGAAAATAGACATATACATTTTTATGTAATTTTAACTTACACGTGATAATAATAAATTACGTGTGCTACAATTTGCGATATTAAATATCGACAACTGCACGAATCTCGCGAATCAAACTTCTGTCGTCTCTTCATTGTCACAATTTTACATTGGGAACTACTGGCGTGAACAATATGCGCGAAAATTGTATACAGCGGCGTAGTTTGTATTACATTTAACATCAGGCATCTCGACGTCTTGCCTCAGAGAAACGATACGCGCTGTCCCTGATAAATGGCAAAGTCAGAATTCTCGGCGAAAGAGTCTTGTGAGGGATCTATCTGACGTATCTGGGTTGGAACAAGCTGACGACACTGTTCATTCATTGGTGCCTCGTTTGAACGCAATGATAGAATTTTTTTCGAATTTTCCTGTATTATTAATATCAATTTTTGTTTTCGAATTTCTGAAAAAAATGAAGAAAAAACTTTTTAGAAGTTTTTTTATTTTTTTCAACTACTTTTCTCAACAAACACTGGATTTTTTGTTTCTACAAAGTCCCTAGAACATCAATAAATGTAAAAAAAAAATAAAAAAAAATACTATATTTAAAAACAAATAGTCAGAATTGGTACTTTTTCATGGAGAAATGCATTTTCCACTAATCTATTATAAAAATTAAAAGGGCAATTTTTTTACGAACTTAGTACACTTTAAAGTATTTTTCAGAATTTTTTAAAAATTTTCCGTCATGTTTTTGTTATTAAGTCTATATAAAAAATACAATATTTTCTATATTAAATCCAAATTAACAATTGTATTTTCTCAAAATTTTCTCTAAGAATTTTTTGGATCACAGAATCCGAATTTAAGGCAAAATTTATAATTTTAAAATTTGTAATTAAATTTAAATTCATATTGAATCCGTCATCTTGAATTTTTTGAAATCGAAAATTTTGACATCAGATTCAGCGATCAAAAAAACTTCCAGAAAACGAATTTGCAAATATTTTGGATATAAGGAAAAATATATGGCTAAAAGAGTGAAAGAACAAAAATAAGATGGTGTATTTTTCCTTTGTAGAAAATGCAAAGAAAAACGATCGAATTTTATGATTTATTTCGCTTATTTTTAAGAGATTGCTATACCAGAGTGTCTACTTCCTGAAAATTTCTTTTCAGAGATTTTTTGTAACTGGAAAAATCAGAAAAATTTTATTAGAACTCAGGGAATTAAACAAAATATCTCTTTGACATATAATTTTACTTTTATATTATAATAAAAATTAATTTAAAAATATTATAATATTTATTTATTTAATATTATAATAAAATTTAATTAAAAAAAAAATAAAAATGGTATGCTAACGAAATGTTTATCTACGAAAGCTATTCAATTTTTTTTCAGTACATTTGCAAATCTAGTAATTCTACGTGTGTATTTTCCTTTGCATGAATAAAAAGCATTAGTACAATAAAAAATGTTTTAGAAAACTGCAGCAAAAAATTTAAGATAGTTTCCGTGTATCTGGAATTTTAAATAAAAATATCTAGTATATCAGGAAATTCTTTGAGCAGACACTCTGCACATTTTCTTGCTTCAGCAATGTTCCCCGAGTTAATGGTGGAAGAGGACAGCCTTCTCGTACAGGCAGTGTTTGCTGGTATCTAGATAAAATTATCCTGATAATTATCTAGATAAAGAAATGGATCATCTTTATTTTTAAGAAATAGATGAAGAAATACAAAGTATCTTTATTTTTATCTTAGATGAAAAATATGTCATCTTATCTAAAAATTGTCTAAGATGACGTTTTCATTATGCAAAAAAATTTTCCAAAAATCTAAAGCAAGCTTCTAAAAATCTATCTAAAATATCTAAAATATATTTTTTATATTATTATTATTAATATATTATAAATATATTATTATTATATTATTAATATATTGTAAATATATTATAAATATATTATAAATATAAATTAATAAATAAATATTTATCATATCATTTATATATATCTTTTTGCTACTATTTAAATATTCTTTAGGAAAAGAGAAAGAATATGTGTTTATGATTTTAATATCCCATTTATAATCTGCGTCACATTTTTTACAAATATTTATAGTTTTCTAAAATAAACAAAAATATCTAAATAATTATCTAGATTATCGCAATAATTATCTTATCTTTCATCTAGATTAAGTAAAAGCAAAATTATCTTTATCTCATCTAAGATAAATCCACGGATTTTTATCTTTATCTTTATCTAGATAATTTTGAAATTATCTACAACAAACACTGCGTACAGGAAACAATGCATCAATTTTGATTTTCGTCTCTTGTCTGCCATTAGTTTCCACAAAGGCGCTGGCGGGTGCGAAGAGTCTTGGTGGATTCTTGTACAGCGCCGTGAACAAGGCCGGGAAGACCGTGGTGGAGGCCAGTGTGAAGATCAAGAAGACCGTCGAAGAGAACGTGAGTTTTTCCCACTGTATTTGCCACTAATCCTGTAAGCTCGTCGATCGATCTCTATAATGATCGGTTGTATCGAGGATTTTAATCGAGATATCTCGGGAATTGATTTCGAAATAACAATACAATATGGCGTATTAATTATGGCCATTAATTTGCATATATCTTATTACAAATAATATTGTACAAATAATAATATTATACAAATAATATTTTACAAAATAATAATATTATACAAATAATATTTTACATAATAATATTATATAATTATTATATTTTATATAATATTATTTATTATATATTATATATATTATATATATTATACATATTATACATATTATATATATTATATATATTATATATATTTTATATATATATATATATAATATTATTTATTATATATTATATATTATATAATATTATATTATTTACATAATAATATTTTTGATAATCCAATATTTGTTTACGTTAAGTCTACTAGTGATTTGCATGGAATTAACGCATCAATTATACTTCCATCTTTTTTTTTCGAAAATTAACAGATTTTATCGCGAGATATTTTTCACACGTAATTACAGAAGCTATTTATGTGTTTTATGTATTATATAAATTAATGCGGATTTTAATAATCCTGCAAGTGTGTCAGTCGAGTTATGATGGATCAGTGTCGATCATTTCACTCGAGATATTCAGAAATTGATTTCGATGTAACATGGCATAATTATGAATAATTTGCGTATATCTTGATACAAATAATATTGACATTTTTGGTAATCAAATATTTGTTTACATTTACATCTACAGATGTTGATTCATTCGGAATTAGAGCATCGATTATACATCAACTTTTTCTCTCGGAAAATAACATTTATTTTATCGCGAGATATTTTTTAAACGTAATTACAATGATTATTTATGTGTTTTATATATTATATAAATTAATAGGAATTTTAATAATCTTGTAAATACATTGATCGAGCTATCTATGATGACCGTGCCGATGATTTCAATTGAGATATTCGGAAATTGATTTCGATATAATATGACTATATAATATGGCATAATTATGAATAATTTGCGTATATCTTGATACAAATAATATTGATATTTTTGGTAATCAAATATTTGTTTACATTTACATCTACAGATATTGATTCACAGAATTAGAGCATCGATTATACATCAACTTTTTCTCTCGGAAAATAATAATTATTTTATTGCGAGATATTTTTTAAACGTAATTACAATGATTATTTATGTGTTTTATGTATTGTATAAATTAATAGGAATTTTAATAATCTTGTAAATACATTGATCGAGCTATCTATGATGACCGTGCCGATGATTTCAATCGAGATATTCGGAAATTGATTGCGAAATAACATACAGTATAATATATTAATTATGAATAATTTACGTATATCTTGATACAAATAATATTGACATTTTTGATAATCCAATATTTATTTATGCTGAATCTACGGATATTGATTCGCAAGGAATTAATACATCGATTATATCATTGATATATAAACCTTTTTTTCCGGAAATTAACAGTTATTTTATCGCAAGCTATTTTTCACAAAGTAATTATAAAGATTATTTATGTGTTTTATGTATTATATAAATTAATAAGAATTTTAATAATCTCGTAAATACATTGATCGAGCTATCTATGATGACCGTGCCGATGATTTCAATCGAGATATTTGGAAATTGATTGCGAAATAACATACAGTATGATATATTAATTATGAATAATTTGCGTATATCTTGTTACAAATAATATTGACATTTTTGAGAATCCAATATTTATTTATGCTAAATCTACGGATATTCGCAAGGAATTAATGCATCGATTATATCATCGATATATAAACCTTTTTTTCCGGAAATTAACAGTTATTTTATCGCAAGGTATTTTTCACAAAATAATTATAAAGATTATTTATGTGTTTTATGTATATAAATCAATGTATATAAATCAATAAGAATTTTAATAATGTTGCAAATACATCGTTTGAACTACTAGAATGACCGATGATCTCAATCAAAAAATTGATATTGATTCGGAAATTGATTTCGAAATAACATACAATATGGCATTAATTATAATAATTTACACATCTTATAAATAATATTGATGTTTTTGAATAATTTTTGAATAATTTAAATATCTTACAAGTAATATTGATATCTTTGATAACCCAATATTTGTTTACCTTTAAAGTTTAAATTTACAGATGATGATTTACAAGGAATATTAGTGCATCGATTCCGGAAATTAACAGTTATTTAATCGCGAAATATTTTCCACACATAATTACACAGACTATTCATATGTTTTGCGTGTTATATAAATCAATAACAATTTTAATATCTCGCATATCACGATGATATTTTAACATCTCATGTGTCTGAAAATGAGGCATCGCGCATAAACCATATTCGTTCATATATACGGATTAGCTTGAAATATAGCAAGAAGTAGTAACCTAGCTGAAACAAATTTATTTCAAAGCATTTTTCCAAGAGATACAAGGAAACTGTATTTGCGCAAATATTTCCTTCTTCCTTTTCTGAGTAGTTTTACCCTCTCATCGGCCATCTCTTTGTCGACGATCGATATCGGCTCGTAGGATTTATGCATTCGTAATGGTACGGGCTGTTGCACAAACACATACATGAGAGAAAACGCGAGGAATCCGTGACGCATAATCGCGCTTTGCATTTCGGAAATTAAAGGAGGCGTTTTATGTTCCGATCAGCTGACCTTTCTGCAAATCCCCTTTAAACGAACCCTTCGACAAAACCGCGATATTAGGGTTGCACGAGATACCAAGATTAGTCTTGATATTGTCTTGAATTTCAAGACAAGATTTTTAATTAGTCATCAAGACAATACCAAGACTAAGACTGTCAAGATTATTAGTCTTGTCAAGATTATTGGGTTCTCAAAAAAACTAAAATATTTATATTTGTAAATGGAAAAAATCACTATATACGAATTTAAAAAAATTTTAATCAATAAAAACATTTATATTGATAAATTTAAAAACATTTAATATTAATACAATATAACATTTTTATAAATTAGAAATAAAATTCACAAATTTTAGACATTAAAGAGCATTTCATCCAGGAATTGATGCACATTAGCTTTTAAAGATTTGTAATCTGGTTCTATTTTTTGACATAGTCAGAGTTCCTATAGAGAAAAGTCTTTCTACTGGCACGGACGAGGCAGTTGAACTTAAAATGTCTCGAGCCATTTTTGACAATGTGGGATAAATATGAACCTGATTGTTTTACCATTCCAAAATATTTATATCTGCACATCCCCTTGGAGTCTGTAAATAGTTATTAATTTCTGTTTTCCATGAAACAGTAAATGTTTTCTTAAGTAAATAGACGACATTTATATCGATTACATAGTAATAATTATAATTAAATACAATAGTAATAATTATTTCAAATTATATTAAAAATTGTTAAATATTATTTAAATAATTTTTTAATATTAGATAAAAAATTGTTAATAAAATCGAGACAAGACAATACAAGACGAGATTTTTGCAACCAATATTTACTCAAGACCAAGATTTAAATTTTTCAAAATTTTCAATACCAATACAATATTTTTACGAATATTGTCTTGTCTTGGGTCTTGTACAACCCTACGCGATATCAAAAATTCGATATTCGAGACGCGATATTACATTGCGAATTTACATTGATACTTGGAAATTGAAGAACTAGAAAAATTATCAACTCTATTCCCCTAAAGAATAAAGAGATGACATTTAATGCACACCTTTGCTGCCTCTCCAATCGGCTCGAGTATTGACGCGTCACGTTTCCTCGGGACTGTATCATATCATCTGCCATATGCATCGTCGGCCATAGAACTCGCATCGATCAGAAAGCTCGCCGTTGAGCTGCATACATTCCGTGCATAAATATGCGATAGATATACCATCGCCATACGTTCATACGACGATGAGAATACGTGAATAGGCAAAATTTATTCTGTTTTTTTTTTCTTTTTTTTTGCGGCATCGCCAGCCACTTTCGCGTTTACATTCCGATTCTACCGGAATGATTTGTTGCGATTTTTCATTTTTCCTATCTGTATGGACGGCGCAAATTTGCGCGATAAACCGAAATTCGACATCCGTAATCGGGTCGCATTGGGATGCATCGCCGCAACTTTTCGCCCACGCGATGGCATATTTTTTCCGCGGTTTCGCGCAAATTTGTCGTAGCACGCGAACTGTCAAAGCCGCTCCGCTTTTCGTGGCATATTAATTCGCGCCCGGTAATTATTCTAATGGCTCAATTCACATGGAGGAAAAGTAACGAGCCGTTTAATGTTGCTGATCCATTACAAGCTAATCATAATTAGATGTGAAATAATAATGGAGTTTATCCACAGCTTAATGGTCGCGTATACATATATTCCTTCTAGTTTAACTTTGTTCTACATTAATAATAACGTCCTACGTAGTTTCCATCATTAATTTATGAAACGATCGATGAAAGCGTTAATGGCTTTTATTCTCAAGTTGGTTTTTATATTTCTGGATCTCTATTCTCTTCTTGGAAAAATGGAAAATCTAGATTTCTCAGAAATTTTTTTACCTAGGAAAACATTCTTATAGAATTTTATTGGGATTCGTGATATTTTTCTGAAAAAATTGTCTTTAATAATTGTTTAGTCTTATAAAGTTTTTTATAATTTTAAAAAATATATTGCTATATTATAATTTTTTCTTATAAAAGATTTTTTATAAAAGACTTTCTTTCATTTTAGAAATATGTTTTCGAGTACTTTTTCAAATTTAATATTTGGAATTTAAACTCCGTATTTATTTTTCTTGATTGCATGAGTAGAAAGCATTAAAAGGTGCATGCAATAAAGAAATTTAATTTAAAAACTTGCATCTAAAAGTTCTCTAATTTTACTCGAAAAAAAAGTTCTCTAATTTTACTCGAAAATTTTA